GAACAAGTCGTTTTACTGTTAGTAACCCTCATTCACGAAGCCGGTCTATAAGGGGGGTATAAGGTTGTTGCCTATAAAATGGCAGCTTAATGGGTGTCCACTCTCACCTACCGCTTCCTTGACTGGTGGAGAGTCGTTAGTCGAACGAGTAAGACAATGACTTTAATCCTCATTAAAAGTATGATGGTTATAAAGTAACTAAATGTTTTATAAATTCCCAATCTTAGTTACTTTAGGAAAATGTGAAAAAGGTGCTAACCCATGAAATTACACTTTGCACTTTGCTTAAGTCGTTAGTGGATCGTGTGTGGTTAACCGGCACACTAACCTGGACTTAACAAGGTAGGCAAAGGGTGGCTTAAGGTTTATCATATATCGGTGGAGCGCGTGAGGTTAATCGGCATATCAGTTAGGTGATAAACATTAAGAGTACCAAGTAATTTGCATGGTTAATTCACACCTTGTTTTGTGATCCTCGGCATCCCAGTCACAAAACCTGAAGGGCACAATCGAGATTGAAACATGCCATTGAAAAGTTCAATGAATCTCAAAAGAATCTAGGAGTTTCAAAAGCAATTAAAACCTAATAATTTATTTCGTTTTTCATGGTGGAAACTGGTGAATCGTCATTCACCTACCTTCAAATATTTTATAGCTTGGATTACGGACTATATTTATATCTAATCTACACTTGCCCTTCTTCTTTTTCAGATGTCTTCCAACAATGCTGCTTCTGGCTCAAACCCTACCGGCTCCTTTTCTCTCATGAACCTTTGTGGGAGAGTCATCTTCGATGGGTGCAACTTTATGGATTGGATCAGGAACATCAGGATGGTCACTCGGTATGAGGACAAGGAATATGTCCTCGACAAGGAGCTTAAGGAACTTGATGAGTCGTCTGCTACTCCAGAGGAGGTCGCTGAATTCCGAGCACATGAGAGAGATGCCACTAAGGTGGCATGTATCATGTTGGCCACGATGACAGCCGAGCTCCAAAAGTCCTATGATGACTTTTATCCTTTTGAGATGCACCAGGATTTGATGGACAGATACCA